TGCCACGTACAAGGATAACGGCTTCGAGGCTATTCACAGCATGATGAGAACGAGCTTCACGAGTCACGAGACCAATGATGAGCCGGCAGCCTATTCTTTTTGATGCATGCGCGCTGGTGCCTTCTCTCAAGCGCGGCAAACATGAGCTGCACCCTGTGCCGCTCAGTCTTTGCATCTGTGTCATTCTGTGAAACCTGTCGCGGGCAAGAACCTGGTGAAAGACGTCCATCTGCTGCAGCGGCAAGCAGCTTCTTGTGCTTTTGATCCTTGACTACGTAGATCCAAGGTCACCAGCGCAAGGCCATCAAGATGAGGATGAGGCCGTGATCTTCTTAACGTGCTAACAAGCCCAATCTCCAAAGAGGTACTGGTACCTGTTGTGGTTTGACCATGCCAGGCATGGCCCCTCAGCAAGGATGACACGCACATTGCTGTGCGACGAGCTTTAACCATTGCCATAAAGGCATTTAAGGGTAGGCTTGTCTAGGGTTTCGCGCGGGTTTTGGGTGGGTTTGTGTGGGTTTTGGCTGGGTTTCGCATGGGTTTTGGGTGGGTTTCGCGCGGGTTTTGGGTGGGTTTGCGTGGGTTTTGGCTGGGTTTCGCCTGGGTTTTGGGTGAGTTTGGGTGGGTTTGTGTGGATTTGGCTGGGTTTTGGATGGGTCTGCAGCATGCGCCCATGGCGTCAGGGCGCGCAGCGTGTAGCTTGCTGGAGCTTGACGTGTGAATGTTTCTGGATCGATGGAGCCTTCTCCAGAAATCAAGAAAAACGCAGATTTCAAGGCAGGCCAGGCTTACCGTCTTTAAAAGGTTTGATGAGAGTTTCCTTGTGCAGGAAAGAGTCGATAAGGGTAAGCTGGAACACTTAGATGACCCTGATGAGAAGGGTAGTCTAGTCGTGAGGCGAGTAGGGGCATTCCGCGAACTCAAACGTAAAATTACTTTTAGATGCTATCCTCAGCCCTCAGCTGTGCGACCGGACAGCATTTTCACAGCACGCTCGATTGCGTTTGGGGTTTCTCGGGTCTAGCGTGCGACTAAGACTCCAGTATGGCCTGGCTATCTACCAAAGTGTTGAGTCGCGCATCTTCGGATTAGCCTTCAAATTGGATGGCCCGTTAGTGGACATCTCATATATACACGGTAGGAAGCGCCAGCCATGAGCCTTCTTTTTCTACTCAGAAGGCTGTAAGCATAACGCTTTGGGATGTAGGTTTTGAGCTTGTGGCACTTTCCGTATGTTGTCAGATTTGGAAGCCAGCGTTTTGGGATGTAGGTTTTGAGCTTCTGGCGCTTTTCGCATGTTGGAAGACTTGGAAAAAGCAAACGCATTTGGATGTAGGTTTCGAGCTTTTTCCGCCTTTCGCATGTTGGAAGACTTGGAAAGCCAACGTTTTGGGATGTACATTTTGAGCTTTATAGGGTTGCTGGGGTTATGGGTTTCTTGTGTTGTTTTAGTGTAGGGCATTACGGATCTTTAGGGTTAAGGATTTCTAGGTTTAGGGATCCTAGGGTTTGGGGTTTCTAGTGTTTATGGATTTTCGGGTTGTAGCCACGAAAACGGCACGAGCCCTGCCTTGAGATGCATCCCAGCGACTGCGAGACGTTCACAAAGTCAGCTAGAGTTTGCTGCAGAGAAGCGGCAGGACTCGTGCAAGGTTCTATGAATTCCTTGGGGTTAAGCCATCAAAGTGCAGAATTGGGAAATGTGAACCCAGCACTGAGTCATCGCAGCATCCCCCATTGGCATCCACCAAACCTGTCACATGTTGCTCAACCCGGGTCCCTCCTGGGGGTTCTCTACCTTCAGTGGCGTCACGAGAAGCCAGTTTCAAATTTCAAGTCAGTTGAGATTTCAAGCTCTTTTGGAACCAACATGTCTTCTTGACAACGACCAATCATGCTCGAACAAGCAGTTCGCAGATACCAAGCTGCACATGCTGCACATGCTGCACATGCAAACACAAACCAAGGTCACACTCTCCGAAAGCACGAAAAACACTCGGGTGTAGCAAGGCGAGCACTTTAGGGCGAGCTTTCCGGTAGCCATCACGCGTCTGCTGTCTCTCTTTTGTCATCACCAGAATTTCAGTCGAAAGCTCTTGGCGTGCAGAAAGGCCACCGGCGCCGACCTCACGTAAAGTGAGAGAGTGGTAAGTTGTGAAAGCGCAAGCTCCTTTCAGGCTTTGGCCAGGAGACGCAATAGGTTGCCATCACCAGCATGGCCTAAGTAGTGAGTAGTTCTCTTTGCAGGCAGGGTGTGGCAAAAAGCGTTGCTTCATGTTGCTTATTTTTGGGGCTGTGACGGGGGTCCTCGGCAGCAGTAGCGGCTGCAGGGCCAGGTTGATGGCCCCCGTGAGAAGGTTTGCAAGCAGAAACACAACGAGCAACGACTCTGAGACCTCCAGCGGTCCAAGACCCGAGGTTTTGCTTCTTGCGCTCCCATGCGCTCCCTGTGCGCCCGGCCCCTGCCAGAGTAAGGGAGATGGGCGGCCTCTCAGGAGAAAAGGGAAGAGGCTATTTGAGCTCCCAGCTGCCTTAGCTCTCAGCACTCAGCGACCTCGGGAGGACTGAGACGAGGTCCACGAGCCCCAGCAAAGCCAACCTGAGCACAGCATTTGAGCATCCGAATGGAGCCGGTTGCCTACATCCTGACCTGTCCGCTTCGGCTTCGTCTAAGCTTTGGACACCCACGTGTTTATGGAAAAGGTGTACAAAATATAGGGCAGGTTGCACCTGTGCGCCATGCTGTTGCATGCCTGCGCAGTGCGGAATCGATGGGGCAGCGGCATGCGACGCGACCTTGCAGGCAGCAGAGTATGTTGCTTAGTTTGTGTTCAAGGCAGTGGCCAAGACGGGAGGAAATTCCCCTTCCCCCTCTGACTTCGACGCATTTCGGCTGGCCCGTTTTTTCAAAGTCGTGTCGGAAACAGAGCATCATGAGGCGTACTTGTCCCTTCAAGTCCGCGTCACCTGATTGGAGATAGTGGTTATGGCCGGTCCTGGCCCAAAACGTACCCACTGCAATGCCCGTTTGCAACAGGGCGCCAATGCCAATCCTAATGGATTGGGGAAGACACCATTTGCTCCCACTGCTGTGTTGCCCATCTACCGGCAACCTTCTTTATCTGAGCTGATTCATCTGAGCTCTGCACTCAAACCTTACACAAGACGGAGATGGTCTGATCTAATTGTCCCACATCCAATGACAGTGACTTCCAGACGCAAAGCGAGATTCGCAGGCTACGAGGTCCTACGAAGAGGTTGAAGCAGCCCAAGGGTAATCAAGAGAGATGGAAAACAGCGAAGTGGCCTGAAAAGGCCATGGGTGCAAGCAGAGAAAAACAAGCAACTACAGACTGGCCTTGGGCCCAAGGTGCTCTCTGAAGTATGGAGAATCTGCTCTGTCTTCTGCCGTGTTCTCTCAGAATACCATGTCAGACACATGCTCGAGAAGTGGAACGATCTGCCTTACGAGTAATGCCTCTGGGTCTGGGACACCTCCAGGCCGGCCGTGCTCATGATGAACGTGGCCACACCACTCAGTGCCGAGAGCGCCAACAGCCTTGGCGGCTCACTTGCTGGCTGTGGATCCGAAGAGGCGAGGAAGATGGAAGCGTAACTGCCAAGAGGCTGCAGCACCACCCTCCCAGACGGTGAATTCCTCAACAGAAATCGTCAATCTGAACAAGTTTCTGCCATCATTGCTTTCTGGCCTCAGCAAGCAGCCCACGCTGACACCAAGCCAGTGGAGGCCTAGGAGATGTCAAGCTGCAAGCATTGAGCAAGCTGCAGAAAGCTTGCGAGCTATGCGAGCCAAGCGAGCTGTAACATGCAGATTGAGTGCAGATTATGATAATGAGGAGTTCCCTGCACTGCGCGCACTGTGCGCCCAGCTCAGGTAGCCTGCGGAGCTCAAGATGCCCTCACGGTTCGCAGAAAAGAGACCGACGCGTGGGGCATAGAGCAAATACTCACCTTAGACAAACAACTCTGTGGGCTGTGTGGGCTGCGTGCCGCTACATGCTGCGCATGTCCAGCCTTGCCTCCACCTGCGCTCAGAAAGATCCTTAGAACGAGAACCTGCTTGCCTTGCTGCCTTGCCCAGACCTCCGCGAATTTTGTGCTTGGTGTCTCGCTGGTAGGCGATGGCCGCTGCCAAGCCCGCGACGGCGGATTGCAAGGCTGTTTTCTGCAGCTCCTAAGCTCTTTTGAGCTCTAAGTCTCTGCTCCAGAAGAACACCACCTGTTCGGGGAGCCGCCAGGGTTGTCGACACGAGTGCCACCACGGCAATCGTAAAAAAGAAATTCCAATGTACACCTGTCGAGAGCTGTGTATGCGGCTGGCATGGTGTGAAGAGTTTTGTTTTCTGGGGAGCGGTCCATATTCGGAGACGTGCACATGATAATCCTCAGGACAGGACCAACGCGTCTCATGTTACAAAACAGCTCTCCCATGCTCTCCCTGAATTTTACTGACATTCAATGATCGCCAGTTCGACAGTCGAAGTGGCAATGCCCCAAAGAAAGGCCGCGCGCGTGCCGCCCAGAAGCATCACTGGCCTTGAAGCTCAAGCCCCCATTTTCAACCGCTCCTGTTGCACTCCAGATCGCTCCAGGTTGCTGGCCAAAGTTTAACGAAAAAGCCACCTGGTAAGGGCAAGAGCAGAGCAAAGACCTGCGGATGCTCTCCTTTGAATTTGGTTCCCGGCGCTTCTCACCGTGCGGACGGCGCGAGCCTGAGACCTGCAACTATAACCGAAGAATTCCAGCTTGTGGGAAAGGAAATCTGAGTCCGCATCTGCAGAGGCAAAGATGATGCAGCCCGTCCCCAGATCCATTAGTGCGTATCCGAACCTTAATCGGCGTTGGAGAGGTGTGCATGCTGAGCCTTTTCGGGCACGGGCTCCTCTGTTTTCGCGTGGTGCCGCGGGAACAGCGATGCGAAGTCTACCTGGCAGGCGGTGGCAGGCGGCAGGTTCACTTGCATGAGTGAAGCTCTCTCCGCACCGCAAGGATGACGATGCAGGTGGAAACCATGACCTGATTGAAATGCAAAACATATGCAATCCAAAATCAAACGGCTTCTCCAACTGCATTCAAAGGGCCCCCTGCCATTGCACGGTATTCAGTGACAAAGCGCAGTCGGCCTCTGCGCAAGGCTCCCCTCTGGTGCATCTTCTGGCAGCCCACTTTCCCTTGCCTTCATCTACGCAGAAAGCTTCCTTGTAGCATTTGTGAAAAGCCGTCGCACACGAAACCCAGTACCAAATGGCTGAGGACCGTGCGCGGATCCAATCGCGGCGTCTGAGCCTCACCAAGCCCGTCTTTCGTCTTTGCAGTTCGAGCAATGTGAGGCATGCGAGCAAATGAGTGAAGGCTCCTTCGCAAGGCTTCCAGCAGCAGGGGTGCGTAGAGCAGGAGGGGAAGTGTCAGAGAAGCTGTGGTGAACGCTGCAGCCCTGACGCCCAGAAACTTGCAGCAAAGACACTTCGCAGGAGCGGAACTTTTCTCAGGTGGCCACAAAGGGAGCAGGCAGCAGGCATCCACCAAGGCTGCCAGCAAGGCCTCAGCTCTGCGCAGCAAACGCCTGGTGCAGTTTGCCTGGCCTGCAGCCTTATGGCAAAGCGAGCGCTTGCAAGGCAGCGGGCTGGCGCCATGGCGCCAAGCTTCAAACGCTGGCCAGTACCCGTACTGCGTGTACATTCAGGCACCACGCCAAGCACCATTAAAGCTTGCCCCCTCAAGTACGAATCATCAGCTCTCTGATGACATCGAAACTACAAGGAAAAAACATTCAAACAGAAGCAGAAGAAGGGGGCCAGCACCAACGATTGGCACCGAAGGCTCTGGCAAGCAGCGAACAGCTTTACAAGAGTTTACTGCACTTGCATGTGATGCTCCTGGCCACAAGCTGAGATATTGACGCTTTTGGAGGCAAGGTGCTGCACCAGCCCTTCCAGGAAAGCTACTCGCACGCTGCAATTGAGCGATCCGCGATTTGGGAACCTGCGTAGCTGCTCTGGGCAATGCTGGCTAACGGGTACACCTGGAAGCCGCAGATGAGGCATTTCAGCAGCCGCAAAATCTCACTGAGGAGCTGGCCAGCATAAGGCCATAGAGGGGCCTGCGCCCATGCCATGGGCCCATGTGCCCATGTTCGTGATGCCCCACAGCAATTGGATTCTGGGTCTCCGACCCCCCGCTGCCAAGCTTGTTGATGTAGGCCTTCGCTTGAAGGCCCAGCGAAGAAAAGGCATCTAACTTCGAAGGTTTTTTTGGTCAGTCCTCGTCCTGTAGCCGCCGGTATTCGGCAGCACTGACGCTCCAGACGCAGGCCTGAAGCCAGGCACCACACACGGTAGTGCTGCGCGCAGCGCAGCATGCTTGCTGGCAGCAATCAGCCAATGCTGCAATGCTGCAGGCCTCTTCGCGCCATCGCAGGCCGTTGCCCTGGGAAGAGAAGTTTTCTTTGGAAGTGAGTTTCATGGCTGAGGAATTTCCGCGGCCTGGCCATAGGCTTCAGGGCATTGCCCTGTCCAGGCTGTGACACACCAGGCACCACCCCAGCGTTTTACTGAAAAGATTGGCCTCCCATTCTCTTCGACCATACGGCTCCTTTAAGAAATCCTCTGAGCCAAATGCCCCAAGTCGTGCAGATCTTGTGGCCTAATTGCCCTCACTGCTTGCAGGCCTGTGCCCAAACTCACCAGCTTAGGTTCCGTCGAATTCACTAGGCCCTGTCTCACATGCGGTTGCGAATCGAATTTGCGCAGGCTACGCTGCGTGCAGATTGTCAGGCCTCTTGCCAGGACTGCACGTGGCAGGCGTCTACTGTCAGCGGCACCTTGAGCTTGAAGGGGAAGGGGTCTTCCAGCAGCCTGCAACATGCAGAGCAACATGTCGTGTCACGGGCATCTGGTCACCAGACGGAAAGCCTGACCAGCTCAGCGAGGGCTTCCTCAGCGTGCTCCTCAGGACCCTCCAAGATGACCTGCGACTCAAACGCCAGTCGACGAAATTCTGAAAATGTGCTTCCAGCACAGAAGGATAAAGACTTGTGCCCCCTCGCTGCCTCATCATGGATCTGGAGGATAAGCTGGTAGCCGAGCTGTCTGAGGAGCTCGCTGCGCTCCACCGCGAGCATAGCGCTGAGCACCAAATCTGCAGCCGAGCCCTGCACGGGCGTGTTGCCCGCCACCCGCCTCATGCGGCTCCTCTCTCTGAAGCTCGTCGTCTTCCGTAGAACCCGTTGACGTCCCAGCAGTGTGGCAACCGCCCTGTCGCCCGACCCATCGCTTGCTGCGCTGTTTGCAGCGCTGTGCTGCACATTCATCCAGGTTGAGATCTCTGGGAAGGCTGCGAACCAGCGGTCGATCACTGCCTGAGCCTCATCCTGCGTCAGGCCCCAGTCGTTGGCCAGGGAGAAGGCCTCGGGTAAAGATGAGACACAGAGAGATAAGGGTTGGCATGGGGGGGTATCTGGATAAATTCCTGGGATTTCCTGGGGGCATGAGGCATGAGGGGCAATCGAGCATGTCAAGGGGTTAAGCAGGAATAAGCGATGCTGAGCGTTCATGGGACTTTGCCGTGGACCGGAGGCCTGAACAAACTTTTGGGCCCAAGCCGCAAACCGATCCACATGGCCGCCAACACAAATTTTGGAATGCCGCCTCATGCGCTGTCTCCCACTATCATACGCAGTGGGAGTCTCAGACTTTATCATCTGTGTGGTCGAAACCCTCGCCTCCCTCTTTGTCGAAACTGCCTCACTATCACGGTGGGAGGCTGCCTAGTGCACCGAAATAAAATCCTGTCAGCTGATTAGCTACCGACCTGGCTACAATTTCTTGGGTTCATCTGCCCACCTTAGCCAACTGCCGCCAACAGCTTACTCGAAATAAAATCCTGAAGACAGGCATAGCAGAAAAGCAAATCCTGGATGAGGAGTTGAACATAAAGTTGAGGCACAAGCCGCTAGATTCCCTACAATGCTGAGGGCCAAGCTGTCTTCCCATAGAGCAAGGAAAAATTCAAGGTCTTGGAACGTCTCCGTAGCTCCGAGAAGACTTCCTTGACCAAGGGCACTCCTTCACTTCCCTCACCGTCGTCCAATTCGTCCAGCGCCACCTCGCCAGCGTCCACAGCCTGCCGGACCTCCTCGAACATGCGGTACGCGGTGCGGGAGTGAATGTCGCCGCCCTGACTTAGAAGGCTGATCATGGATTTGCAGTCTGTGAGATGTGCTACCAGGCGCAACTCCAGTTGGGCATAGTCTGCCACCAGCAGCCGCCTACCCGCCTGTGCAGCAACCACCGACCTGATCGAATGCTTCACAGGCTCACCCTGCACGTTCGGATTCCGACTGGAGAGCCGGCCAGTGACGGTGTTCAAGTTCAGCTGAGGATGCACCCGCCACCCGGCTGAGCGCTTTCGGCAACTCTTCAAAAGAGGCCGCAAAAAGCCCAGTCGCGCTTCATTGCGCCGCCACTCCAAGAGACTCCGCAATGCTGAAGGGCCTCCTTCTGCCAGCTCGTCTTGCTCTTCGAGGGAGACGATGACATGTTTAAGCGTCTCAAGCGTCAGCTGCATGCTGCCCTTTGCCGTCTTTCCACCACTTTCGAGACCCAGCCCACGCACCACAAACGGCGGAGGCCGAGGGCGCCGCGCCCGAGCCTGCGCTTGCACCTCTGGATCTGAAAGGCGCAAGATGAGCTCGGCCTTCTTGCCGCTGACCTCGCAATCCACATGCTGAGTCTGCCCCTCCGGAAAACACAGACAGGGCCGTACCATGAGGCCCCGGTCTCTGCACAGGTCCTTCAGCCTCAGTTTCAAAACGTCTCAACCCTTCCATCTGATGGACAAACGAAAAAATGCAGCTAATTAGAAGACATGTGTCTTCGCTCTTTAGTCAGGCCACACAGCGGTTGAAGAATGACTAATAATTACTCTCACTGCTCCTGCTCCTTCTCCTGCTCCTGCTGGTGCCGCTGCTCTACTGCTCCTAATACCACAACAACAACAACAACTACAACTACAACTACAACTACTACTACTACTACTACTACTACTACTACGCAACGCGCTCGTGTGTTTACGCGGGTCCTTTGTGGGCGGTGCTTTTTACTGAGGGCCTCGAAATGCTGTATTTTACAGGGGTTTCTGGTGTTCACATGTAAAACAGTAATTTTTAGGCCGGCAATTCGGGCGGCAAACTACTTGTGATTTCGAGAATTTTGACAGTTCGAAGACTGGCAATGTGTTGCGGGCCCGTCTACATCCAGCCATGGATGCCATGCGAAAGGGCATGGTTTAGGCATGGATGCTCTGGTCAGCGTATGCTCCGGGAACACGAACGTTATTCTGGTTTAGGCATGGATGCTTTGGTCAGCGCATGCTCTCGGAACACGAACGTTATTATGGTTTGGGCATGGATGCTTTGGTCAGCGTATGCTCCGGGAACGTGAATGCCATTGTGGCTTGGGCATGGATGCTTTGGTCAGCGTATGCTCTCGGAACGCGAACGTTATTATGGTTTGGGCATGGATGCTTTGGTCAGAGTATGCTCTTGGAACACGAATGCTATTCTGGTTTGGGCATGGATGCTTTGGTCAGCGTATGCTCTCGGAACACAAACGTTGTTATGGTTTGGGCTTGGATGCTTTGGTCAGCGTATGTTGGGCATGGATGCTTTGGTCAGCGCATGCTCTCGGAACACGAACGTTATTATGGTTTGGGCATGGATGCTTTGGTCAGCGTATGCTCTTGGAACACGAATGCTATTCTGGTTTG